TAGTCTCATAAAGAGTGTGATTGTGATTGTTATCAAATGAAAAATTATTAGTTGCAATAACACGCATATCCTTAACCAACATTGCAAAGGCATGCGTAATCATTAAAATACAATGGGTCTAGAGAAATTAGTGTCTTGGACTAGAAAAAAAAAGCAACAAAAGAAGAGTTGAAAAAGATTGCAAGACTTTAGTGCATTTTCACACATGGATTGGTTGAGTTTTCCGAATGTTAGATGATATGGGTATGAGTATGGATGGAGAGGAAATTATCAGCCACACTTGTAGGTTTACAACAGTGGTTCTATAAATGTTTTTGTATGAGCAAAGTTCGAAAAAATTGAGAGACGCTGATAATCCATTAAACCACTTCACTAAAAGTCATTCTGTATGATACTTACCTATCTCTAATGTATAATCAAGCAATCATACAATACTTACATGATAGTATGTAGATATCTCTGATGTTTCAATTAATCTGTGGAATAACGTACGTAATTCTTGAAAATAGGTCTCTACAGCTTCATTTTATTTTCGAACTTGAGAAACATGAGAAGTGATTTGTTCTTTCAGACAGTTTCTATGAAAGAACTGTTGCAAGAATTCTTAAGATCAAAACTAACATGGAACTTTTAGTATGTACTATAGTTGTACTCATTCGCATCCACCATAAAGCCACAAATCCACATCCATCATATCTTTTAACGGATTTCTGTTACTATAGAATTCATCGTATATAGCATGTACAGGTAGAATTTTATGCCCATAGAAAAGCATTTTTATGCACTCTATATTGCTTTTCATCTATCTATTACTTTTTTTTCTTTTGACTGGTGACTTTATGGCTTTTCTGATTACAAGTCTTTCTTTTTTTTCGTTGTCTTCTTTCAGATATTTTGAGTATTTTTCTAGTTTTCGCTTTGTGGTTTTAGTTTGTGGTACCAACAGATAATTTAATCAGTAACAACAGTTCTTTAGAATTAGAGAAATTAAATAAATCAATTTTAAATCATTTGTTTCTTCCTCATTACTTACCTTCTTCTGCTGACAGTGACTTTTTAATTCAACACAATCATCAATATGAACATAAGATATTGGAATGTATGAAGGAATATTTGAATTCCCTCAAAGTGAAGGATACATCGCCTATATTGCCAGCATTTCGGGTCTTGATGAGATGCGTTGAACACTGGTCTCACTTACAGAATTTACAAAACTCCTTTGTCTCAAATATACAATCTACTATTGAGCAATTATCGTCAGGAAGCTTTCTTCCTCTTTATTTTCACGCTCAAAACGCTGCCATCTTAATTGAAATTGATGAAAATAACAGTAACCAAGCATTCATTTCAGCTTGGCAAGTTTTATTACCAAATGAAACAATAACTTCTTCTCTGATACCTCATCTATCTTATTTTCCAGTGGCAACATACAGATTGCGCAATCGATTGCAGTTGAACTCCAAAGTTCATTGTGAATTGTTGATGGATTTTATGTATAATACAATTGAATATTTCAAATCTTATAAGTCTTCTCGCGAATTTAATGAGATGCGTGAAGTTCCAGAATCACATTATGTGTGTCAATGGTGGATCCAACACTTCGACGGAATAAAAGTTGTAGACAACTCAAATACATTGATTCAATTTAAGAAGAAACATCGTGATCATATCAGATGGAATAATGCATTATTACCGTTTCGACGTTCAGGTTTATGGATGACTATCAAAGTAGTATTTCAGACAATTCTAACCAAACGTTTGGGACATCTTGGCACCATTGCTTATAAGTTGTTAACTACCCACTTTCTTACTCATATTATTAACACAAGACATGTTAGCACATCCACTGATTTATTAGTTCATTGTATTCGAAAGATTCTAAGAAGATTAAATAAAATTGAAGGTTTACTTTCGTCTATAGATGCAAATCATATGATCGATTGGTTCCAACATATGAAACAGGAAATACAAATGAAAATTGATCAAATGCTTCCAAAACTGGATTGGCTAGATTCCATTCAGATGAATGAAAAATGGGGCCTGCCATTGTCACTAAATAATGTAAAATTTAATGGTCCTGAGATATATCAACATGCATGTTTACAATTAAAGGCGTACCTGAATAATGAAAATTCAAATGAAATATGTCGGTTATTCTCAAGTTTTAGAAATAATGGCATTCTCACAAATGTTAATCATGAAGATTATATACCGTCACATCATGTTTTAATAAAACAAATGAATTATACAATTGTAACAGCTTTAACTTATATGGAAATTTGGATTGAATCCTGTTTAGAACAATGGATGAATCGCCCATCACTATCCATAAGTGGAAAGAATCGTTTCGAAATTTTATTGCATTTCTTCGAAGAATATCAGACTGAAGTGTTGAATTATTATTGGTCAGAAAATGGTCCAACAGATCCGATGAATTACAGCCGATTCATTCTAACATCATTGACAATTATTCGTTGTATGCATAAAAAATTATGTCAAGATAAAAGATTTGAACGGCTAAAACTACATTCTATATATATTCCCAACGTTTTAAAGCTGTTCGAATTTTTGGTCTTACCCAATCGAGAAGATATGATTAGGGCACGTAGTCTTTACAATTATTTTACTGAATTCAATAATAAATTATATCCTGATCTTTTAAACAATATAGAATCTAACAATGCTTTTGGAGTATATTTCGCTGATCATTCACCACAAATGAATGATGAGATACAACGCATTAGAATTCAAGCTGAACAAGACAAACAAAATAAAATAAACGAAGTGAACAATGCAAAGCAAATGTATATGCAACTAATGAATGTAGTAAATAATACTTCTTGTGAATATACTGACAATCGTCATAAGAGTAAGCGATGCAAACGATGCAAAGCTCTGAAACAAGCAAACCAGATTCAAGTAAAAGTTTACGAATGTCCGATACCATGGACGCGCGAGAGTGCATTAGCCGTTATTTTTGAATTACAAATGCCCATTGAAATACGATGTTATCGAGATATCATTTGGCAATTTATAAATCGTCCTAACCCACAACCAAAAAATTGTATGCATGAATGGTTAAACGTTTCTTCTCATGGAAGTAAATTAGAGTCGTTTTATACCGGTCTCAGTAATCACAAAGTTAAATTAGTATCTTCTACTAAGTCTATTAGTCAAACTCACTATTCCACTCCACCATCAATTGCATTCACGCCTACCGAAGGCTTTCTATTTGAAAATAGTCTGAAGATTCAAATCTCACCTACCAAACCAATTGATTTCGAAGATGAAGTTCGTATATTGACTCCTCAGCTTGATCATCCAGATTATAAACAGTTACAGTTTACTATAAACACTACACAGTTCGTTCAAAATGACGTCATTGCTCAACTATGTAGTTATTCATCACGTTTGAAACCTTCACAGATTGTAGAATTCGGCTCGTTTCGTTCCGGTCATCGCTTACAATGGTGGAATCTTTTAACAATTCTTGAGATGGACTCATTATCTTTCGCTGAAGAGAGTGTAGCAATACTGATTATACATTCGATATTACAATATGGTCCGTTAATATCAGATTCAAATATATTGTCTGATTCGTGGTGTCCAGAATCACATCAACAATTATTGGAAGATCATTTTGTCGATGAGTTAATCTCAAGATTGAATCGTCATTTAGATGACTGTGCATTAAATTGGCAGAATGAATTAGTATTAGTCGTCATTACAATGATTACGATGAGAGTGTTAAGCATTTGTAATACAACAAGGAAAAATAAAGCTGCTAATTTAGCAATAAAATGTCGTAAAATTGCTGAAAAATGGATTAACTTCATTACAAGAAGTATTCAAACTATATCACCATCAGCTTTGGACGAAGTGGAAAATCTTCGTCTTAAAATGGTAACTGTTGGCATTTCTTGCATTTTGACATTTTCAACTAACCAACAAAGAATCAATTTTTTATTGTCGTCGAATGAAGATATTGTATCCTTATTAAAAGCAGCGACTACTGTTCATGATAATATAATATTAACCAAGAATTGGGCCAATATGAGTATTTTTATAAGAAATATAATGAGATTTAGTGAACGGGTCTTAGTAATGATACAACCAACAGTTGCCAAATTTCTACAGAAAACATTCTATCAAGGTTTGAATGAATTTACAGTGATCTATTGGGCAGTCACTAAAAGAAAAGGTAGCATGAATGGACAGTGGACAAAGCGAACAGAAAATCCATATGATGGTTGGTACGATTGTCAATATGATTCGAGAGTTATATCAATTGATTTTATAAGAGGAACTTTTTTGATCGATAATATGACTATAGGCTTTTTACCTGACAAAATCATCTTTCATGAATCATTTGTTCGTGTATTTGATGCTCATATCTTTGAAGTTCAAGCGGCTGATTCACCTAATACTTACATTACTAAACATTCGTATCATGGTACTGGACTCGTTCAATACGATTTTCATTTCAATGATCGAAATAATCACTTAATTATTAAAGAACGGTACATGCAGACAAATGATATCTTTCAATTGATTCCTCATAGTTTTTTCGAGAATGAACTACCAGATATGTTTGTCTCCAATCACAGCCATTGGTGGAATACAAAAAATCAAACAATCGAGTTTCGTCCCGTTCATTTTAAAGATATCAATTTTTTAACTAATAAATCTTATATATTGTCCATGAGGACAGGATATGTTACTACAACTGAACGAGTTAATACACAAATTTTGATTAATCAATCATCAACATTCTTTCAAAGCTTATTTAATCGATACTTTATTCGTCTAGATGATAAACCTTATATATATATGATGAGAGATAATATTGATCAGACAAATTGTATCATTCATATTCATTTATCACGTTTAGGCATTGCTTTTCAATACGATCCTAGAACAAATATAATTATGTCTCGTGAATATTCAGATATGTGTGTTGATGAACATCAATTGTTCGGAACTTTAACAAGTTTGACATCTGGTCTTCTCCTATCACCATTAGCTGTCAACAACAACCATAAAATGGAACGCTATCCGTATCGAAAATTGATCGTACCTTTTGGAGAATTACGTAGTGAAAAGACATCCGACATCAATCAGCAAGCTGTTATTATACAGCGATCATCGTCAGTATCTTTTCTTCACCAATATTTTGTTTTTATTCTAAATGATCGATTAAAAATTTTACAATCGACTGATAGTCCTACTGGTTGGCTTTATTTAGCATTGTTACATGCAATGACATCCCATCCTTTACCAGATCAGTATACTGGAATGACTGGAATGGAACGCGCTTTTCAATTGTTAAATTCAGCTGGTTGTTGGTCAGATCAACCCTTTGATTCTCTTTCTCTAAATATATTGAGTCAAATTGCTGCCATATCGCCAAAAGTAGATTACTATCCAGAACATCTGACTAGTATGGAAAAAATAGATTGGAATAATAATGGTATATCTTATTCCATGCAACATTTTGGATACTATTTGATAGTAAAAAAATTAATTGAAACAAGCCAACAGTTGGAGTTCATGTATTCATCATTCATTTGTACTAAGATGCCCGAAATATTTGAAAACAACTCGTATAATGAATCATTGTTAAAAAAACTTTATTGGGATTATCGAGACTCGTACAATCCTATAGCTAAGTTATCCGCAGAGATGGAAGAAAATATTCTGCACTCATTATGCACGACACCATATCAACCAGCTCCAAATTATTGTTCACATGCAATTAACCACATCATTGTTCGGCCTATTGATGATTTATATAAGAAAGGAAATGTCAATCTTAAAGACTGTTCCCAACAGCATTGGTTACCCTTGTCCCAATGGCTGAATGATGAAAATCATTTGAAAACTACATGGATTGGTTTATTGAAAATGGTTAATAATCTCAAGATAACAACAATTCTAAACAATCAAGACAAAATCGAACGGTGTGAAAAGTTGATAAACTTTCTTCATTACATCTCTGACAAACTTAAAATCAAACCATTTTATTTTCAAATGCTTAAAACAGCATTTAAAATGCCTGTTGCATTAACAACTATTGTCACATTTCCTCCATTCATTGAATATTCCAATATTGAAGAAATTTCAGTTGTACGGCAGCGGATCAAACTATCAAGTTACTATACAGCAGACATACGAAATCGAATAATCGCAGAAATCGAAAATTCTTGGCAGAATGATTGTTATTATGAAGACAAAAGTAAACTGACAACTTCTAGTGAAATGTCTCAGATTAATAAGTTATTCATTTCTTGGCAAAATAATAGAAAACTTCGATCGTTTTTAGAATCTATTCAAAGTCTCTTTTGTTCCAGTCTGATAGAACAGTTCTATACTACAATATCATATAATCCTCAGCAGTTCGCAGTTGAATCAATTGAAGAACACTATCAACTACAAGTCAAATGGATAAAAAAATTAATTGATCAAAAACTGTTAGAAAGTGCTTTTAGAAAATTTTACTTTCCTTATTCAGGTCATTTCAATAAGTCAATAATCTCTTCTCAAACTGCCAATCGAAAAATGACATTCCCAAATCATATTTTCCCTTCTATCAACCATAAAGAGAATCCTTTGAGTGAAATTGACAATTATTTTGAAAATCAGTTAAAACAAAGTTGGAAAAAGTTTTTATTGGGCGAACAAATTCGAAAAGAAAATCCTTCGATCGAAGAAATTCGAGAACGTCTCAACTGCTTGCAGAAAGAATCCATACAAAGCTGGAATGCATTAATAGAATCTATTACAGTATCTAATGAACAATTATTCGAAATAGGTTTGATCTCACGAATCACTCCAACAATCCTCATCGCTTTCTTACAACAAAATATAGCAAAATTTCCTTTGAATAACGATCAACTTACATTACTAGGTGGTATTCTTGTCTGTTGGACGTTAGAACAGCAGCTAGAAAGAGCGTTGCATTATGCCATTCATGACAAATTGGAAGATTTTACAAAAGAAATATCAAATACACCACATTCAAACTGGAAACCATCTGAACATGTCCCTTGGCTAATCTTAGAACTGGAAATGAACATAACCATTCGAGAAATCCAAATAAACGTAGCACGTCATATGATGCAAACAGGTATGGCAACAAATAAGACTAAAGTAAAAAATTTGGTACTGCAAATGAATATGGGAGAAGGTAAAACGTCTGTTATTTTACCAATGTTAGCTGCTAGTTTAGCTTCATCTGATTCCAGTTTAGTTCGTATAGTAGTTCTTAAATCCTTATTCCCAACAAATTATCAATCATTACGATGTAAATTAGGTGGTTTACTGAATAGACGCATATTTTCCTTTTTATGTCGTCGTGACATGAATTTTAATGAGAAACAAATTAATCATATTTTTAATCGTCTCAAGCAAGGTTTACATAATTGTGATGTCATATTAACTTCACCAGAAGATATATTATCCTTCGATTTGCTTACTATAGACAAGTGCCGTCGAAATGAATTTGATGTTGGTCGTTCTATGTTGACAGTTCAACGATGGTTAAAATTATTTGCTCGTGATGTATTAGATGAATCTGATGAAATTCTACATGTTAAATATCAACTGGTTTATACTGTAGGTAGTCAACAAAACGTTGATGGAGGTGCAGAACGTTGGAATATCATTCAGACAGTACTTTATTTGGTCAAAAAACACGCTCTATCTATTTCAAAATGTGTCAGTGAAGAAGTTTGCTATAAATCTCCTCCACGAAAAAGTGCTTTTCCAGAATTTCGTTTGCAATCACATCAGCCATTTTTACTGTTATGTGAAATTGTAGCTAATGATTGGCTTAATCAAAAATCTTATCGACATGAAGATAAAAAAATTATCTTATCATTCATTTTAGCAACAAATTCATCCATTGAACAACTAGATAATAAATTTTCACAGCATGATATTCAACAATTTCTTATCATTCGTGGTTTGCT